ATGATACAGTAACAGTTGGCAACTTGATCGGAAGCAAGATTTAAGAAAAATATTTTCAGAAAGTGCTTAACTTCTCAATCTTTGTTCTCTCTTAATGCAATAAATTTACTGCTGCATCTATAATCTTTTTCTTAAGGCTACTGTACCATTTTTCTTTAAGACCTCTTGACATCACCACTACCGTCATTGTGCTAACACCATCTGAATTGTTCAGCTTCCGTAGGAGTAATTTTACAAACAATAGTTGCATTTTAAATGAAAAAAGGTGTATAAGCCTTACATAAACACAAGGTAAACTGCAGCAAAGTAGATTTATGCAGTCATTCAAAAGGAAATTTTCCTGTGGTTGAATCTGCTGACTGCTCTTTGTACAGTTACCTATTGAAGTCACTCTTTTGCCTCAATAAAGTAGTTACAAATTCAGAAACATCTTGAAAAAAATGGCAATTAAGCTGCACGATGTTTTGAATTAAGTTTTATCCTAAGGGCTATATAAATATGATTCACTTCATGTGGGTGATGTTCATTCACAGAAGTACTAGTTGATGCAGTATCTTTCCTCTGAAGCTGTTATTTCAAACTAACGAAGGCAGGGATAGGAGCATAAAAAAGACAAAAACATTGCTATTATTATCCATCAGTTTACATTTATTGAGAAAAACCATACAAAAAACATTATACAGTTAACGTGTACCCATATTACATACAATGTCAATGCAAGCTCAAAACCACATTTTTGTAAAGCATTCAATTTACCTCAAGTCCAAGCTGCATCTCCCTAAGACACTGTTCCCATCACAGTTGCCTTTTAAAGCCAATCTTCTTTTTACACACGGGTAGTTTCTGCAGAGAACACTTTTCTCAGGACGAAAAGGCATTTCACATGCACGCAAGAGAAATATTTGTGCATACATAAGAGTTTCACAAGCTGTTACTAAGGAAGAGGGAATCCTGTCAACTGTATGCTTTCAGAAAAGCCCAGTCCTCCCTTCCTCCCCCCCACTTCCAGAAAAAAAGCAAAATAAAAAGCCTTTAGCATGCAATAGAAAACTTAAATTACTCTGGAAGAGAGCAGGGGAGAAACAGTTTCTATCATCCAATAAAATACCACTAGGAAAAAGATGAAGTATTTCAAGATAGGCTGTGCAAGCGAATAATGATCCTGTCTGTCTGGACAACTTAAATACACGACTTATGATCATGCTAGACTGAAGATTATTCACCTGACATTTTATTTCATGTCTTACTAAAGTAGAGGCTGCAGAAAGTGATATGAAAATGCTTTTCCTACTTCTAACACTATGCTTCCTTTTTAAACTTTCTCTACTCGTCACTTAATTCTAGTTAATTCATGGGGCTCTGGGTGGGGGGAACAAAGCAGGAAACATTTTTAAAGACACCTTTTAGACAAGTTCATTACATTTCTAATGAAGTTCCGGTATCTTTCTGGATCAGGATAACTCCAAATAATCTATTTTATGTTCTCTGGAGAACTGTGAGTTTGGAGACAGAGTTGAAGAACAAGCACTATGCTTAGCACAGTTAAACAGCATGCCTGTAAGCCCAGCAGTAAGAAAGCTGTAAGTCAATACACCTCAAACGCTACACGCAAGAACATCTCACCTTCCGCACACTAGCAACATTCCAGTAAACTGGCTTTTTCTTCTCTATCTCCTCCCACTAGCTAAATCTACAATCGAAGACTGTTAAGATATTGCAGCAACAACAGTTGAAGAAAAAAGTATCATGTAGAAGGAAGTGAACAAATGACTCAACCCAACACTAAATTCACAGTATCAAAATCCAAACGGTACACACCTAACCATTTCTCATGCCAAAAATGAAGTTACATATTAAACTACAGATGAAATATTCAGTGGCTTAAGAAACTGAAGCACAACTATTAATTTAGTTCAAAAATTCAATATATCTAAGCTTGGCTGTTCAGAAGAATATAAATTAAAATGGTTTATATTATTAAATCACAGGTTAAAAAACTTAACAGATTATGGAACATTTATGGTCAAACAAGTAATACTTTAAAGAATGAAAAGTGATCAAAACAAAAATTATACCCTACACCGTTATGTATGGGATACATTTCAAATCTGTTATGTTTTTGCCAATTTTACCTTCTACATGGAGCCCTTCTACGGTCCATGCTCATCGGCTCACCAATGGCATACACTCAAAGGATTCCTCTTTACTGGTAGTAACTATCTCAGGACCTGATTCTATGAGCTATGATTTGGTGCTTGCAGCATCTTCAGCACTGTGTGTGAAAATGAAGGCAGTATTTTTGAATATTTTTCTTTGATGTACAGATAAGCAGGACTTTTGAAAGAGGAGCAGCACATTTTAGAAACAGAATAATCAACAAAAAAACAAGTAAGATGCTGCTTTACTTTAAGCTAAAAAACCACACCCAACCCCAGCAAAAAGCAGAAACAAAAACCTGTACCAGACCATCTATAAAGACATACAAACATTTTAAACTATCAAAATATACAGCAATTCAGTTATAGTATCAAGAAACAGGATACAGTGACTGCTATATAGATAAAATATTATTTGCTGTACTGTTAACATTTAATTGGTGCACATGCTTTTTTAGTTAAAACACACTAAGCTCTGAAACTCCAGAATCTGTTTTCCTACCATGTCAAGTATGAATGAGCAAACTAAGTTATCTAAAAATTCCACTAACACACTATAACTGTAAGACAAGTTTTCAAGTTCAGTGATAACAACAAAAAGTCATATTCTTTATATTTAGGTCTTATGGGTTTGGATGGAACAGTGCCCTACTATAAAAAACATTTGTGAAGGCTGTTGACGTTTCTAACCAAAGCAGTTCCTACATATTTTTAAAAGTTTTGATTGCAACAATTAGCTATTTGAAGAAAAAAAATAAAAATTACTTTTTCTACTTTTTCTGATCAAGTATAATTACTGCAATCTACTCATCTTTTCTAAACAAAAAAAAAAAAGGATACATATTTACCTAGAAATATAAACAGTTGTTTAAAAACTTAAAAGACTTTCCACTGAAATGGAACCGTGAGTAACAATGCATTTGGGGAAGCAGCAGATTGCTTTTCAATACACAACCACAAAGATCTCACAGGGACAACATTAATGTACTGAAATATATTAATTTATATACTTCCTTAGGTTGTGCTTACCTGTTGCTTTTTTGCAGCAGAACCTAAGGTGGAAGGTCTGGGAAGGCACTGTGAAGTATAAATAATTGCACTGTTTGCAATTAATAAAGATTTTATACCTTAAATGAATCAAAATCAACAGCCTCCATTTTGTGAATGATAAAAGAATCCAGTGAATTTAATTTTGCTCAGTTTAGTACATAGTAAATGCACCATTCTATAAGGTTATCTGCAAAATACCATGCAAAAATATCTGAACTATTAAACTTCATACCCTACACTAAAGATAGCAAATACTGTCCTAGCCTTTTTTAATCTACCAGAATAATTCCTAATTTTAAAAGGGATAAAAATAATTCCTTCTATTTCTACAGCACAATACATAAATTGCTAATTACCCAAATAAACTACTTCAATTTTCAAGCCTTAACTTTTACTTCTCTGTGCAGCCACCCTAAAAAAGATTATTCTCAAAGCAACAACATGGTGTTCCAAAAGATAAAGAAAGTAACAGTTACAGAATTATTTAAAACATACCTACATCACTACATATCTGCAAACTATCTGAAGACAACTTCTGTCTAACAAGTGGTTCCAAAGACTTCAATGTTATGATACGCATACTTTAAAACACTCTGGAGCACTAATGAAGAAAAACTATTACTCAGATAAACATAAACACCGTTTTCTTCAGCTATTGCTAAACGTTTCAGGAATACTTACCCACAAAGCTCATATTATGTATATGTATATATATACGCAAACCTATGTTTCTGAATTAAGAAGCAATTATGATTTCCTAAAATATCAGCACTGTATTCCAACATAATAGTCACACAAGTATGGCATTTTCATTATGTGGAACATTGACAAAAAGATACTGTTGCAGTTCATCAATTTGTCATTCTGATGTACTTACAGTGCAATGCTCCTTGAAGGAACAATCAAGGATGATACACAGCACAGTCCTCCTCACCCCTATAGAGCTAGTTCTATACTGGCTGGATCAAACCTGCACTTCAACAGACAACGGCAAGACAAGACTGTATTGCATGTAGTCTAATATATGCAAAGAGCCAATAAATATGCAAAGAGCAAACACAGGATTTCAAGAGAATCAGATTTTTAGTATGAGCATTAGAGCAATACGAAGTTTCAAGTATATATATATATAAAAAATAAATTGATTCAAATACTTGAATATTTACAAAAACAGAAGTTATCTGCTCTGCAGGAAGTTCTCAACCACTCCCCAAGCACTCAAACAAAACAGCGTTTTAAGGACAGATGCAATTTTTGTAACTACTATGCATACCACATTGACTTTTCTACACTGAATTTTGAAGTGGACTACTTTAAACTGAAGGCTTAAGCACATTACACTTAAAATAAGTTTTATAACTAGCCTGAAAAATCCGTAAAATGGTTATGCAGGAACAGTTTTTAAGTACTCAAGAACAAAAGTCATCTGTTTTAGCAGCTGCACAGGTCTGAAACAGTGGTCATGTATAAAAGGAAATTTCACTGTTAATGCAATGGAAGTATGCCAAAAGATCACCTTCTTAAACACATGCAGTTTTAATCAAATAGAAAGAAAATTAAGGTATCGAGATTACTGATGCTAGGCAGCAAAATATAATGAATGAAAGAGATCCTCCATCTACAACTATTCTGCAATAGGGGAAAAACATGCTAACAACAAGCCTTTAAACTCAACAAGGTTTCTTGAGGGGGAAAAAAAAAAAAAAATCTCATTTGCAAACAGGTACCTTGATGCATCGTTGCAAATCAATCCTATAATTCTTTACATACCCACATATCCAACTTACCGACACAGGAGGTTTCATATTATTTATTGGAAAGCACAAAACAGGCATTTTAAAAGTGATAAAGTATACATTGAAAAAGTACATTTATATCACAAAGCATTGACCACATAATTGCAAATACATTTGCTGGAATGTGTACATCTACACTAATACTAAAAACAAACCATTTTTCATTTCTACACAGAAATATTACCTCCTATCAGTAGTGATAGATATTTTGTACATTTTCAAAAACACTATTTTTTTAACCAAACAAAATTAAGATCTTCATCAAGGCGTCTGCATCCATACATTTAACAAAGGTTTTTTCCCCCACACAATGAAGCAAATACTGTATTGTCCACTTCTTATTATTGGCCCTGTGCAGAAGAGATACATAAGAGATACACAAAAAGTTAAAGAAAATCCTTTAAATCGAGCTAACTCAGGAGTGAAGCCTTTAAGAAAGAAAAATTGGTTAATGTAAATGGTGGTGGCTTCTTGCATGGTTTTCAAAACCCTGGGAGGAGAAAGTTTTTCTTTCTTTTTTTTTTTTAAAAAAACATAATCACCAAACATATGGATAGATACAGAACTCAAGTTATCAGGTAAACAAAGTAATCTATTAATTATTCTGATAGTTATTTCGCTAGAAAAAAAGATGCATACTCCAAAGGTAACAAAGCAGGAGACATGCAAAAAAATATCTATAACCACTGAAACTGAAGCCAGCCAAAAAACACTTAAACTTTATACCTGTGGTGCTGGAGGATGTTGTGGCATTCCCTGCGGACTTGTCTGGGCGTAATACGCTGCCTGTTGCCTGTAGTACTCAGCCCATGCTGCACTGTAATCTGGCTGACCACCCGGCGGAGCCCCAGCAGGGGCAGGAACTGCTTGTCCTACAAGTAATTAAAATTATATAGCTGTGTTGTTGCAATAGAAATGAGAAAATTTCAAAATCTTGCTGCCTAACAAACATCACCTAGCTCCTTACAATATTCCTACATGGCTTTTAACAATGTTGTGGCTGCCTTTTTTTACCTAACCGCTTATCCTACTGATTTTAATGTAATGATTCCCATGTAACACAAAATGGAGGAACTGTAAAGACAGTTTTTTCCCACCTCTTGAATCACGTCTCCAAAACGTCTTTAAAGACTTTTAAGTCTTTAGGCCTGACTTTAAAGTCAGACCTAAACTGACCTGAACGAGAAGCATTTAAATTACAATACAGATCAACAGGGGAGATTACTTTTTGTAATCCACCTAGGCTGACTTTACCTTATTGTACAGACTGCATTATTTACTCCACCGCAGAATGTAGTCCTGAAACTTCTCCTTCCAACCTTTGCTTAAGTTCCAATCCTCTAGAAATAACAGCATGTACACACATACATGTATACACAGTCTCCCAGACTTACAGCTGAGAACTACCAGTTCTTCAGAAAAAAAAAAACCAACAAAAACCCAACTTGCAAGGCAACAGGCTAATACACAAGGACTCCTCAGCATACCGAAAAAAAAAATTAACAGCCAACTTTTTGGCTGTTCTTCCAATGAAGGTCTGTCACAGACATCTCTACTTCCTTTTTCGCTTCTCTTATTTCAGAAAGATCAGACACATTCCACTTATTACCACTGTCTTCACTTTTTTTTTTATATCTGAAAGGTGCTTTTGCAGTTACTACTGCAGAATGTACCTGACTATAAGCAGAACAACACTCTATACAGTCACCTGTCCTCACACTTGCATGCATCCAGGCAGAAGGGTTTTATATGGAGTGCTTCACTGTAAAGTTCTTAAATTTCCAAAACAGAACAACTATTACTGCTGTGATACGACATTTTTGTGATCTACATTCTTAAGGGATTAGTTTTTCAAATTAAAGTTTTACAGTCAGAATTAAGACACTACCGAAAAAACACCGCCTCCAAGTTTTTCGTAGGATACTAGGAAAAAAACCCAAAACACCACATCCAATCACACCACATCAAATAAATCCAAGCAAAATCCAAGCCTGCACCCTGTACAATTCCACAGAATCACAGCATGGTAGGGGTTGGAAGGGACCTCTATGGATCATCTAGTCCAACCCCCCTACCGAAGCAGGGGGACCAACCACAGGCGTGCACACAACCCCTGGGCAACCTGTTCCAGTGCTCCACCACCCTCAGAGGGAAGTTCTTCCTCATATTCAGACGGAACTTCCTATGCTTCAGTTTGTGTCCGTTGCCCCTTGTCCTGTCGCTGGGCACCACTGAAAAGACCTTGGCCCCATCCTCCTGACACTCATCCTTCAGATATTTGTAAGTATATATTAAGTCCCCTCGCAGCCTCCTCTTCTTCAGGCTTAACAGCCCCATCCCCCTCAGCCTCTCCTCGTAGGGGAGATGCTCCAGTCCCCTAATCATCCTTGTAGCCCTCCGCTGACTCTCTCCAGTAGCTCCTCATCTTTCTTGAAGTGGGGAGCCCAGGACTGGACACAGTACTCCAGATGGGGCCTCACTAGGGCAGAGTAGGAGGGGAGGAGAGCCTCCCTCTGTTACAGAGGGGGAGGATAACCTCCCCTAACCTTCCATGCGTGCCCGATCTTCTGTTCTGCTATCGACAAAAACGGGCAGCTTCCACACAACAATGACTAAGTTTTCATTCCTACCTGAAACCACCTCACCTTTTATTTGGGTACAATACCACTGAGCAACCTTCTAGGGAGCATGAGTATCAAGGACTCTAATGATTTTCTAGGGTATCAGAAGATTGATTTTGTTTGTTGAAATACTTTTACACAGAAAGTTCACACGAAGAATGCTAGCTACCCACGCTCGTCTTACATACACCTGTATTCTCCCAGTTCTCTTAGAAACATTATGTGAGCAGAGAATCTGAACGCTTGTCAAAGCACTACCCTGAACATCTTCAAAACACAATCTTCCATTTTCCAGCCCTCTGTACAACTTACATAGTGTTTCCACTTACACTGTAGATATATTGAAAAAAACCTTCTCCATCACTTTTTGGGTTATACAGTAAAGAAATTGTTTTCCTGGAGAAACTTACTTCAACGTCTTCAAATCTTACGAGCCGAAATAATGCTAATTCATATTTGTAAATTCACACTTCTGATCAATTATTTTAACCAAAACAATCTTTATTATGGTTACAAATTATCCTAGGATACACTTTTTGCAAGTTCGCTATTAATTTCTGAGATAATAATTCTACTTACAATTTATTTAGCTATGTCACAGCTGTCAGCACAGCTGAATGTCAAAGCTAACACATTTTTTGTGCACTATGACCCAAGAATCTTCTGACATTCAGCCAGCTATCCCCAAGGCAGTGCTGAAATTCAAATAATAAATCAAATGCGGGAAGTTTAACATCTACTCAAAGATGTCAAACTGGACTTCTGTCCTGAAATGGGTTAGTAAAAATTCAAAGTATTTTAGCTGTATCATTCCTCTACTAAGTACTGCAAGTAATTCTGAACCTACACAAGGAATTCAGCAGTTCTGTCAAAACTTCCTTTCAGTGTACAGAACTGCACTGAAACAGTACATGCTCATTAACACCCAGATTCAACTGGAACACTAACAAGACTGATAAACTACTTACAAAGGAAATACAGGAAACACAGGATACCTGCCCATTAAGCAAGGCTAAGAAAGAAAATGCCACATGATCCTACAGCTCTTCCACTACTCAAATCATCAAGGGTGATTCTAGTAAGAGAAAACCGTTCTTTGTCCTCTTTCCTGCTACAATGCTGAGGAATCATTAAAGAACACTTCCACTTTATTATTAGGGAATCCCTTAACTATAAATCAAGCCCACAATATATTAGAATGACTTTAAATGATAAATTCACAAACTCCTACAGTGACATACAAATCATTTACTAAAATATGACTTCAAGTTTAGAGGGAACTGTTACCCTTGGGATATTTTTAGGGCCTAGTTATGCAAATCTATTTCATCTCTTGTAGGGAACAGTAAAAATACTATGACTCCAATTCAGGACAAAACCATCTATACATCTTCAAAAGCTAAACTACTCTCTTGTTATCTGGTAATACTCAAGGAAAATTCAAAACAGATTTCCTGAATTTATTAAGTAGGGTACAAAGGAAACAGATGGTCTGGGTGACCTATAGGATCCATGTACAGTATCTTAACAGTGCAAATGAGTAATTTTATTAGCTTTTCAGTCGTGTTTTTAATTGTATATACTTCTCAAAGCAACAGTCCCTGACCAAGCTAAGGGTCTGAAAAAGGAGACGGACTTTGCCAGTATATTTGCAAGTTGGAAAATAGGTTATTTTCACGTCACTGTTCTATATGCTGAAAAAAATATGAAAGCATTCTCTGTGATTAGCCAAGTCATAACCACACCAGCAGGCAGCCACTTTGGAAAACAGTATTACGGTTTTGGGAAGAATATTCAAGAGTGCTTTAGAGTTTTCAGACCACTCCTACTTAACAGAGTGTGAGAAAATCCAGAGCACCAACTGCAGTATCACATCCAACTTGTTCAGTTCAGTACTGTCACCCTCATAAGCTTGCCACATGGATTATCAAAGTAGTTTCCTCAGCAGCAAAAATAAAACTGCTTGGGCTCAGCAAGTCCCAAGTTTCAGTTCAGTTCTCCAAAACAGCTGTTTGCGTAATTATCTGTGCTGTGAGAAATCTGAAAGAAGAGTTGAAGAGTGAGTGACTTGTAATTCCTACCTTCCCGCTTTTGCACAGTTTAACGGGGACAGTACTGTAGGAAGCACAAACAGCAGCGGCTGTATTTGAGAGGCCGGAGACCACACAGACTTGCTGATGGACAGCCTTCCTGCTCGCCAGGTCTTCTACTACTACTTAACACTGCTGTGAAGCAGGTGGGAAACCCACCTCCATTTAGCACTAAATTAACAATAGGTGAATTCTCAGCCCTTCAACCTCACTAGGTCAGTTCTTCCTCTTTTCTAAGTGGATATTAAGAGAAATGGTATCTTCCATATCAAGATTTTCAATATGCTGAAGTAGCAGAAAGTTCTTATGATTTACACAGCCAAGTCATACAGGCCCAGACTTCAAGAGTTCTCCTTCAGGTAAAGGACTCGATTTGAAATAGAAAAAGAAATGAAGACCAGAACCGCCCTTCTGCTTTTCCTCTTATTTGGTTGTTGTCTTGGGGTTTTTTAAATTTTGCATTTTAAAAGCAACTTTTTACATTTCCCAATGTCTAGTTTTATTGGGTTCACACTCTTCTTTGGACTTGCTCCCAGAAACTCTATCCCCAAACCTCGTAACTGGCTATTATTTAATTAGACCGAAGACAAGACTAGTGCAACCCAGACTTTACTTTCGAGAGACGGCAAATTAGAAAGACAACAGAGCCCCTGCAAACACATTTCATTATTCTTAAAAAGGCAGTGAAAAAATCCCACAACTTTGCACTGAAGAACGTGAGCTGAACTAACAGAGACAGTAAACTGAAAAACAGCAGTTAAACGAAACAGGAAAAGGAAAAATGGAAAGGCCCATCACATCTTAAAAATCACGTGTTTGGGAGCTCTGTTGCAATTTTCTTAGTCTGATATGCAATTTTTGAAGTAAATCATCATCACATATTTTCTGTTTCATTTCATCACTTACGCTGTGCCAAAAACAAATATAGGCAGTTATGTCTTGGCAAATGATTTGAGATCAACCTGCTAGAAGGTTGGGAAGAGGAATTAAACATGCTATTAATCCTAACTCCAAACGCATTTTTAATATGCCATGAGAAAACAGGGTGCAGTTGGAAGAGGGCAGAAAACTCACCAAACCCCCCCACCCAAAGAAACAAACAGAAAATGAAAATTTGATGCTGCTGTATGTCTGGTCAAACAGAGATACCAGGGAAAGCCCTGGCACTCATAAGCCCACTAGTCCTCAGCATACAAATCTGCATCAACTACTATATCCATGGGGGGACGCTGTGGACACAACACTGACATGCAAGACATAACCATGATTTAAAAGATAAAAGCATCTTCTGCTAATACATCAAGACCACATATTCTTTCCTTATTCAGTAAATGATGAAATCATCAACTTAACAAGCAAATACATTTCAGTTTTGTAAGTCAGCTCAGGCAAGATATTTTGGAAAAGCTAGCAACAACGTATAATCTGTAGTTTAAACACAGCTCCTAAGTGCTGCAAAACAAATATTATTTAAAAAAGGACATGATATAAAGGAAAGCTAGTTATGACGCTTTAATAACCTGGAACACAGAAAGCAAGTTACAAGAAAAAACCTGCACACATACCCATTTTTTTGTAGTACTCCTCCCAGGCCTTGGTATAGTCAACTTGCCCTGCTGGTGCTGGATTTGGCTGCTCTCCTGAATTACATTAGAAATAGTCAAAATAAAAACTACTGGGCTTTGTTTCATACATAGAAAAATTTACAAGTAATTGAATTGATTAAATAATTGAATTTAATTTAATAATAACTGTTTTTTTCAGTAATAATCCCAAGTAACATCACTCAAATCTGACTCTATAAACCTATGTGGTACAAGCTACTACAAATATAAACTATTAGTAAAAAACACCACAAAGAAACAAAGAAGCGTTTAGCATGTTTTCAAGGTTCAGGAAATGCACACCACTCACAGTACAAAATACTACCTAAAATTTAAGTACTACGCCTCATCCAGGCACAACGATTATACCAATACAACTAAATATTACAATTATAATTGTCCTAAAACTACTGGAAGTGATGCAACTGTTTAAGCAAAGGACAATCAACAGTTTGGCTCACTCCATTTTTACTTATGACTACACTATGTAGATGTTAATTAAGTCACCCCTAGTTGCAGCAGAATTTTTTATGGGGTATATTACAAGACAAATACATTGCCCTTATTTACCACTGAAATTAAGAAAAGCAATGTTGAATGCTGTAAGCAATAGTTTTTCCAAGAAAACCAGCTACCTTCAATAAATTTACCCAACATATGAGGACAACAATAAAAATAATATGGCATCCACACCCCCTGCAATGAGAAATTTATCTGCTTTATTGAACAGCTACCTTGTCCATTAGTTTGGGTTGTAGCTGGTCCACCAGGAGGGGCCGCAGGTGGTGGCTGTGCTTGCTGCTGATAGTAGTGAGCATAGTAAGCTGCCCACGCTGCTGAATTGGGATCTGTTCCTGGCTTACCTACGGAAACAAAACATAAACATTCACAAAAGTAGTATGAACAGAACGCTGTCCTCAATTAATCCTGCCCTAATCACTCATATTTTCCTCCAAGGAAAAAAATATAAGCCAAATAACCACGTACATTCTGTAAGTATCCTTTCTTTCTAGCACAAACCTTCAATCAGGTTTCAGACAAGTATATTGTACAAAGTATACTTTCATAGGACTGATGGGGTAAAAGAAAAAAAAAAAAAAATCATTCTAGAACCCCTCCTACTATAATGTCACTTGTTAATTTTTAAATGTGATGAACAGAAACAGATTTTCAAGTTTAAATAAACAGTCATGTTCCTAAATGGTAGCAACAATGAATCATTCTAGCACCAAACAATTTCAGTGGTTTTACTTTTGTTATAACCTCACACTAATGACACTGCCAGAGGTGGAGGAGGCATACCAAATACATATTTCTGAAACAGAAGAATACAAATCTTACTAGGTATTTGCGATGCTTGACAGTTAAACTTTAAGATAACAGTAAAATAGAGAAACATACAGTATTTTAAGAGCCTAAATCCCCATACAAGGCTATAAAGCATCACTGTTTACTTACAGCTTTTTAGTACAACAAATAATAGCAACACTTGCATCTTCCGCAGCTATCTCCGTGCTTCCCTTATTTTTAACTACGTCTAGGCAGGCCAACGGTGCTGCTTCCTAGAGCCTTATTTTTCTGTTTTTCACATATAGCCTTTAGGAATGGCTTATTGTTGCTGAATCACAGAGATTGATTACATTATCAGATTGGCAATCCACAAAACCTGCAAATCTACTGTTAGATAGAGCATGTAATGTTCTATAACACAACCAGCATCCTTAAACAATAAAACTATCTGCAAATAAATGCTGTCAACTGAGGAAAGAACTTCACGTAGAGACAGGGACACAATTGATACTTCAGCATAACTATACATAGGAATGGAATTATATTTCCCCCTCAAGCACAAAATAGGTAAGGCAGTGACTAATGGAAGAGAAAGAATGCCTTGAAAAAGGCATTCAGGAAGAAGAAATCCACAACACAACAAATTTCTTGCAGTATTTCATTTAGCATTAAAGTCAGATGTAGCCACTTAAAAAGCACACAGTAGTATCAGCATACAGAAAACAATGTTAACAAGTTTCCTTTTAAAGTTACACTGCTTCTGTCAACAACTGTAAATTTAAACTAATATGTACTATACTCTAAGGTTACCTGCAAATATCATATAAGCCATTGCTCGGTTCCCCCCCCTCCTTCCCCTTAGTAGCTACTTCTCTAGAATAGAGGAACACAGAGCGGGATTCATCAAATTTCCAAAGAAATCTCACTGTAGTAACTAGCTCCACTTTCACGTGACAAGAGGCAAGCACAGCTCTGGAGAAAAGCAACTCTGAAAAAAATACTAAAATAACCCATTTGTTACACTGGAATGAGCAACTAGGTGGACAACCGCACAAAACTCACCCAAATAAATGCTAGTCGAAAAAAACACCAACTTCAGCTACACATCGGAAAACTTCATTAGGTTTTTAAGAGGAGTATTTATCCAAAAAATGGTTACAAAATCATCATCAAGATGACATCAAGGTCAGCATTTGCCATTTTTCTTACAGATCCTTATGCAGATAAATGACTTTATAAAAAATTAAAAGGTGGCATGAAAAAGGCTGTAACATTTTGGCAGTGGTTTTGGATTAAACGACACATTCGGTATTCCAAGACTGTAAGTCAAGTCACTGTGAATCATTCTCCTTTTAATTAATGACAACAGGCATTTTTAAATACTAGACTGAACGCATGCAGAGCTACCTTTTATAGAAGTTAGGGAAATGACACCAGAGATGGTACTTCACCAAGAAATGATATGTAGAAGACTTGAACATGAATAGAACTCTCTGTAGGTTATAACATCCTTCAAAGCCCTCCTCTTTTTCACTAATGGAACTTATGTCAGAACCACTGGCTATCAGAAAACACGTATTCCATTTATAACAAGAATAAAATTGAGATCTTTTGGATGAAGTTCTGAAGAAGCTCCACCTCAAACAAATGAGGTACAAGTGACTCAAGCATCTAGCCTTACCATGCCTTCTGGGACTGCAGTTCCGTTTCCCCCATATGCTCTAGTCCAACCAAAGGATGCAACTTAAAGAAAAGCAGGATACTAAAACTTCGGGAAGTTGTAATTAAGTAAAAACTCCCGGTCTTGACAAAGATAAACAGAAATAGAAGAAACAGATTCTACAAAGAGGGTTTCAGAAGAATTTACAAAACTATTATACGCAAAAGGTCAAAATACACAACCCTAACTAGTTTTACTGTATTAACAGCAGTTCAACAAAAGTTTTATCCCTCAAAAAAAGGACTGAACAAAATACATTTGTATAAGATTCTGAAAAACAATCCTCATCTAGATCAACAAAAGCTAGAAATATGTAACATAGTATAAACTGTGCAAAGTCAGGATCAATGATGCTGTAACGGGCACTGTTCAATATAAAATACAAAGTCATTGACTATTACAGGAAGAAAACACATCCTCATTAAAGAACTTTATGTAAAAACAGCCATTGTAAGAAAAACGAACTGATGTGAACCAAGAGTCTTGCAAAAAGTATCATGAATTGGGATGCAATATCAGTAATGTTTAGTAAAGAAGATATTCCACCGATAACAACTCAGTTTCAACATCTCACAAGCAGTACGTGGGAAGTGTAAAACTTATGTAAACTGACAATCAGTAAAGAAAAGCCTGAAGAATACGAGGTTTTTCAGATTTACCAGTATAAGACAAACGAACTGTGAAAAGTGTATCCTTGAAAGGACAAAACAGATGTACTTACAGAACATCCACATCGCCGTATGACCGTGATATTTCTTACCTGGATCTGGCGGATTTGGTGGCTGCCAGTGCGGATAAGCATTTCCCCATCCTTGTGGAGCATATGGAGCTGGAGGACCACTATAAAAGATCAAGTCATAGACATACTGTGAAAGCCAGTCCCAGGGTCACCCTACAAAAAAAAGGAAGCTAGCTTAAGTAGTACTTACTGAGGTGCAGGGCCTGGAGGCCCTGGATTATAAGGAGCCGGGTTATATGGTCCCATGGGAGCACCAGGACCTGGTGGCCCAGGAGGTCCATGCGGGCCAGGAACAACACCATGGGGTCCGTGGGGAACAGGTGGACCCAATGGATTTACTGGACCCTGTAACAAGAGTGGCACACAGATGAAAATAAACCTTCAAGTTCTCATTTTTTCAGCAGTTTAGAAGCATAAATCTGAATGCTTCAAGAATATAATCGAAAAGATTTGACTGTTTTTAAAGAAAGACACTTCCCTGGAGAAAATAATCTTTCTCAAGATTAAGTAGGCCTGTGGCTAGTTAAGGAAGAGAGTTAAAAGCAGCAGTGGCAGTAATAGCAACTAAAAAGCTGCAATTATTTCACATCTTTCTTGAGGAAACAAACAATTTTACAAACACAGATTTCTCCACAAGTTCCACTAAAAAACCCCCACAAACTAAAGCAAGACTATCAGTATTTTAAAATAAAGTGATACATCTAAATCTGCCTAATTCTGCTAATTAAATCTGTTTATAAGATCATGTACAAAAACCACGTAGTGAATTTGATTACATGCACACACATGCAAACAGAAGTACAGTGAATTTAAAGGGTGTAAACTTTGATTAAAACTCTACCTAAACATACCGAGACTGAAAAACTAAACATGCAGTTTAGTTGCATTAAGAATATCAAGGGTATCTTTAAAGTTGTCAAAGATTTCATTATGCACAAACTGGGCAACTTCAAGAACACATAATTGAAAAATACACTGTATTACATTGAAAAAAGCAATTGTTTCTTTCCATTTCAAGTTTTTGCTTTTTCTGGTGCATCAAGTTATGTTTATATTACTTTAAAACTGGATTACCATTTATTATTATCAATTTATTACCTGATTAATTCTGAAGTAAAATGGAAGGAAAGTCTCCACAAAGGGGAATTACTTTCTATTCTGTTTAGTTGTAATAGTAAACCAAAATATAGTTATACACTTACTCCAATCTTTTCTTCTATAAGTTGTCGTGCATAATCTATTTGCTGGGGTGTTCCACGGATAGTAAACATCTTCATGTTTGGATCCGCATTAGGTGGAGGATTTCTCTGAAGTTCTATTCTAGCACCAGACTGCTGGCTTATGCTTTTAATAGTTTCACCACCTACAATACAACATACAGCTTTTATGACATGCATTAAAGCGAAAATACCATAATTCAAATCAGAGAATGTCAACTGCATGGAAAAATGAAAATAGAGAAGTGAAAAGACACCTGTTTTTATCCGCCATACAAGAGCGTTCTAGTAAAAAAAACCAAAAAACCTCTGCAGTGTGGTACAGAGCTTTGATTGCAGTAAACTAGCAAAAATAAATTATTTCTTCAGTGAAAGACCACAATATTGTTACTCACAAATAACAGCAAAGATTTCCTAAAATGTTGTCTGGTTTTCTTCCATTCATGTAAAGATGTACAACTAGACATCAATAACAACTGACACCCACGGTTATCAGCAAATACAGACTTTAAGCCTAACCTCCCTATAAAGCAGCAGGAAAGCACAGACAGCAACAACAAAAAAAAACCCCATAAGCTGACCAGAGGGTAACATCCGTATTTTTTGCAGGGCACTAAACTGAGAAAGTTGAATTCCCTAAATTCCCCAAGTTCCTCCTCTTACAGGGTCCTGAGAAGTTACTTGTATCGCTAGTAGGCACACAGACTTCAAAATATGTCATATTGCATTTAAAAAAAAAATTTAAAAAATAAAATAATAATTAAAAACAAGCATTTCATTTAGAAGCGTACAGTAAATTATTTTTTAAATAAAACTACTTGAGAAGTAATTATTTTAATAAACAGACACATAAGAAATTGTTACAGGATTCCACTGTAAAAGATCTTTGCTGGAATATGTGAAAATTAGTTTTAAGAGCCAGTTACAGACACAGTAAGACTAGGCTAATCAAGCAGTACCAAATGAACTTTATTATACGATACATCATCTATAATCTACCAAACACTACCAATGTAACTCAGTACTTCTTACTTTACAAAAAAAAAAAAGTTTAGATAAATTGATTTGGTTCTTGACTTTTAACTAGCAGGGTATGTGTTTCGGTGAGGAAAATCTGAAAACAGGAGTGTTATGACTTAGCCGTATTATGTTGCTCTACTGTGCATGGAACTAACTGCAAAGGCTTCTCTTGTAACATCTCTCTAGTATGGCTATTTGTGCAAATAGAAAAGCTGAGAGTTAAACTACATATAGATACAGATATATAAGACATATTGCCTTTGCCAATGATTAATCCAGTTTTTCCAGTGGGAACAATAAAATTGAATTCCTGTAATCCACCAGGAGGCCCCATGTTCCAGTTGCCTTGGCCTCTACCCCTTCCTCGACCACCAGGTCCTGGTCCACCAGGGTTACCAGCCTAAAAAGCAACAAATTAGCACATTTACTAAAAATTATTGAAAACAAATTATTAATGCCAACTGGTTACATCACATCATTTGTTAAGAAAAAACTGATTTACTATTCAGATAATTCTGGAAAATATACTACTTTACCAAAACTACATTTTAAATTACGTTTTAAAAGATGTTCTGTATAACTCTGCATATCAAAGATGAAGGCAAGGATATAGAAGACATCAGAAAGTTTCACATGTACAAAGATGTAATTTCCGTCTGCCTTCTGTAAATGCAGTGGTGGGGCTCATCTCACAATAAGCTTTTAAAACCATCTTTTAAACATCAGTTACAATCAAAAGTAACAACCTATCAGTTATTCATACAAGAGAAGAAGTAGCTCTAAAACCAGCCAGATCAAGAACCGCCATGACTTTGAAACAAGATTATCATCCTGACACTTGCAAAACTGTAACTGTAAAAGCAAACATTCATATTCCAGACTGAACTCTGAAATAGATTCAAATGGCACCAGTAAATTATTTTCTTTAGTTAAACACGGATTTTTAAAATTTTAAGACTTTCCAAAAGTCAGGCAGGAGATTTTAAATCGTAAACAACATTATTACCCAACCTGAACACTTCGAAGGAGATCTGTAATAATTTCTGCAGCATGCTGACATCTGTCAGGAGGCCCTGTGATTTGGGCTATTCTATCTGGAGTTGTTCCATCATCTGGAATAAAAATGAACTATTGCAGTATATGTAATCCACTAAATTTACACTAAATTCACAGAAACCTATGGACATATTACCAACCTGGCTTAAATTGGATCCTAACACCAGCATCATTCTGTATCTTTTTTATCATCTCTCCATTTCTTCCAATTACAATACCTACAGCAAATCGTGGTATTGGAACCTTAAAGACAAAAAAAAAAAATTCAAGATGTCAATGATGCACATATTCCTACCAAATTCACACAATTAAAGGGTCACATATTAGAATGGTAAACAAGGGCCAGCCCTATACCACTTCAGGCTTTTTGAAGTGTTATTTTTTTAATATCAAGTCACAGCTCTAGCAAACACTGGACGAAAGCATCAAAAAGATCTTATGCACTACAAGTTCTCATAGTGGCAGCAATTCCAATGGATATTATGCTTCTCACAAAGAACAAGAGTTCTAATGGGCCTAAAGTGCAGATTCTAGCAGATGAAACTTTTCAGCCTCACCTTGAATGAGCAGTTAGAAGCTCACAACTTGCATAATAGGTAAGTATTTTTCTGTAGAGGCCAAACTCTCATTTCTGTAACAACATTATATACTTCGCCATAAAACTTATGTACTTATTTGACAAAAAACTCCAGCTAGCTGAAACAGTTCAGAACTGCTGGTAATGTAAAGTGAATGCTGCACACCATTTAAAGTCATAATTTCAGCAATGACCGAGTAATATACTTACATGCCACAACTACTTTTGGAATCTGGTTAGGAGCTTTCAGTGGTATTACCCAGCTTAACATTTTAATGTTAACATCTCAAAATACAGTGAATAAGTTTTTCAACCATGCTTACGTCTATCCCTTCATTTCCTCCTATTCTTGACCCATATTCGTTGCGCACCTCTCTAAAGCCACCTTGATCACGAATTAACTCCAGCACCATTTCCTTGGCTTGCTAAAAGAAGAATGAAAGTTAATTTAGGTATTGCAACATTAGAATGGATTTTAAAATGCTCTGAATTCTGAAGGACTCCTTACTTGAACTTTATAAGGGTCTCCAGTTATCCTAAGGGGCTTGTCTGCACCAGTGTTCTGTGGACCATCTTGAATCATGACCATTTTGACACCTGCCCGTTCCTGTTTGACAAAATGGAGGTCAATACACACTCAAATCCAGATTCAGTGTTACACATTTTTAAGAGAAGACACATAAGTACCTGTAATTGTTTAATTGTCTCTCCACCTTTTCCAATAACTAACCCTGCTTTACTTGCTGGAATCATAATTTCTTGGACTGCATTTCCAGGTCCATCACCATGATGAAAGCCAGGTGCAGGTCGTCCCTTTTCAACTATCTGATCAAGTAATCTTTTTGCTGATCTGTGAAGGAACATATACATTTATAAATACACTTATTCCTACAAGTATCACTTGCCCACACCTATTTTGCGTGGAGATGTTTTTGTTTCCCCATTCGAAAAGTTTCTGCAGAAGAAATAAAATTACTCTAAGAGATATGAGGCAAACTCAGTAAACCTGTAACAGTAACTTAAGAAAGTAACTGTAAGATAATGTGGTAGACAAAACCAGCCCAATGTCAGAATACAAAAAGTGATTCTTTATGAAACACACATCAAACAAAAATCACCTCCTCAAATACGACCATCATCCCTGAATACAGTTACATTGATCAAACCATAATTTAGAACAAAAGATGGAAACCTTGTTCGATCTATTTTACCTTACAATTTATGAAAAGGCAAAAAAACTCAGACTGTAAAATAAACCTAGCTTTAACACCAAGTATCGTGATAGCTGCTGCTTGATTCAGCATGCAAAGCAAGGACATTAGTACTTGTAACTATTACCAGAATAGCGGACAAAAGCAAGTATATATTCACCACACATTTAAGGCAGTTGCCATCAGAGTAAAATCATGATTACAGTACTAACATCAATTATAACTCTTCCCTCTAGTATATGAGCAGAATAAACTATAATTAGAAATAAAATTCTCATAAAGGAATGACTTCATGAACAGCAGTTTGCTTGACTGCAACATAAGAGGAGAATGCCATGTTACCTTCCCAAAGGAAAACATGTCGCTGCAGGCCTTACCTGCCAGCATGAACTGGGAGCAGCTAACCTAAGTGAGGTAATACCAAATATGCTACTACACTTAAGATCTTCCCTAGCAAAGCCAGGATAAGTCGGTCTTCAAGTGGTTACATAACCTCTGTGCCAGCAAAAAAAAAAAAAAAAAAAACCATTTTCATTCCTATCACCCTCTTCCCTGAACACAGGAAGGCAAAAGTTAACTTTTCCAATAGGTATTACATAGACATCACTTTCATTACTTTTGTTATACTTTCATTTATACTGCAGACATTTAAGAACCTTGATGGGCTGGGCTTGAGTAACTTCTACTCTTACACATCACTGATTTTCCACATTTTCCTTGTGATCTTTCAATTTATGATTAACAAAGAGTTTATTATTAGCACACATTACTGTTTAGTATACATTCACACATTTCATGCTCAAGCAGCGCATAGTTAGATAAGTATTATTTACAACAAGATTTTGGACACAAAAAAGTTGACGTTCCGTATCTTTGTCTTGGAATGCCAAGGGATCTGACTGCAGGTTCAGTGCTTTTTTTCTCAGGTATACATTTATTTGTCACCAGACTGCCTCTTCAAAACACGAAAACCATAATATTATAAACATACTATCTAAATATTATATTTACATCTAAAAAATGAAGTGTATTGCACAGTTAAATATGAACACAAAGAATTTGTTGTACTTACTGAACAGACTCTGGTGTTCCAGTTAACATACATGATCTTTCAGGCAGGCCTCCACTATCTAAAGTCATAAAATAAAACCAGTTTAGCAGTAGTGTTAAGTCAGAGCGAGATTATGAAATTAAACATAATATACAAACTACTGGAACTTCACTGAAGTAGAATAGTCAGCATACAAGAACATTTTGCATCTCTTTTAACTGCTATCATGACTATTAGTACAAGACATTAAAATATACCTTAAAGGAAGGTTCAGGCAACTAGAAGCGATGATCAGCATTCTGAACTCTCTAACAGAAAACCCCACCAAAATAAACAAAGAAAAAAACCACAGATAGTTACCAGGTGCAATCTGTATTTTACAGCCAGACTCTTGCTGTATACGTGAGATCTGCTCTCCACCTCTGCCAATTACTTGGAGGAAGAAAATATAGAAAGATTATTTGTATTAACAGTCTCTGCTAACATCCCTCATTATACTATGCCATCACGCCCATACTACTTACTGAATCCAACCATCCCATCTGGAACTTTGTACTCCTCTGTCATCACAGACCTACAGAGAACGTTAAATCAAACAAAAGACAATGACCATACAAAGACCAAACTGGCATTAAATTTACATATATCCTCCCACTAAACCAAACAAAGCTAGTGCCCCCACTATCGCGCAGGCTTGTTTGCCTCCCATTAACTTTAAAAGTGATTATGCAAGCCCAGTACTAAGCAAACTAACAATATACAAAAGTGACCACATAAAGTTTGAGTATAATATGAATCGATCTAAGTTTTCCTTCATCCTCTTTAACAGATGCATGGTATAAAAAAGGCTGGTGCAGCATTTTAAGTGTCACCTGTATATCCACAGAAGTATGCTGAAAATACACAAATTTCAGCATGTCATCTACTAAATTCAGCCTAAACACAGCAATTGTTGCATGTTGTTGTTTGGGGAAGAAATGAGTGGAGAAAACTATTAAATTGTAGCAAATATAGCTGACTGAGCAATATGCCGTGTTAAATATGAATTATTATTTTAAATCCATTAGCTTGCTTTTTTGTTTACCAGATAGTGCCAACCCCCCTTCCCCTTCAGATGTGTTTCCAACTTCTAGTTATGCTACCTATGCTCAGGTAGTAAAACTCAGCAACTTTTTTTCCTTTTACTGAGCCTGATGCACAGTCTATGCTTTGAAGGGAAAGAAAGAGACAGCAATGTGGATACATTTTATGTGTTTGACTTTGGACTTGCTGAAGCTGAATTTCAACAGATCACTGTTTCATGCATTGACGCCACTTTTTCAGAAAAATTTCTTGAAACTGCTTTCTTTCACTAAAAAGGAAAACTCTGCTTCAGATGTAGTGTAACTCTTACCTTTGCTGTTGATGCATCGGTGGTAGCTGATTTCCAAAAGCTACAAACAAATATTGTTAAAATTAAAATCAAACAAGTAGTATAATTTACAACTAAGCTCCTTTGATAATAAAACTTCCTTGTATCAACTTTTGTCCAAGCTGACTTTTTAAGAAGTGTTATCAAGAGATTTAAAAACACCTAAAAAGATTCTCAGCTGTTGCTAACAACATTGTCAGTTTTACAAATCAGACTGGCACTGGGTCAAGAAAACAGGGCATAAACCCCCATCCATTCTTTTTATCTCACTGATTCAAGTATCACCTACCAGAACACTGTTTCAAATGCTTGTTCTAACAATGTTACACTTGTTTAGGTTTTTTTGGCAACAAAATAAAAATTACTTACAGTCATTCTGAGGAGCAACTTTCTTAGCATCTGGTTGATCTGCAAAATTAAGATTTTTTAAATTTTTTTGCCAAGAAATTCAAGAAGTGTTTACACCTTTTAGTGTGAATTGTAACTTTCCAGTGTATTTTAGTCCCCCTTTCCTTTTTTTCCTTTTCTTTCTTTTTTTTTCCTCCAATTTCAGGGAGCTGATCATCTGAATAAAAGAAAGAATCTCACGAACACTCAGCACTTGGTTAGTACAGCTGAAAAGATGTTAGGTTTTTCCATGTATCTAGTCAGTAGTTTAACAAAAGGCAGTTTTCAGAACACACTGTAGGTTGCTCATAGATACCCAGTCACTGAAACTTAACTAAGACAAGGAACAAAGTTTATCTGTGTTGATTGCTCAAGCTAATGATGCTTCTATAGTAAAAAAGAAAAAAAAAATCAAATCCAATCCAAAAATCAACAATGATTTAAAGAAAAAAAAAATTCTGACAATGACCACAAATCTAGATCAAACATCTGAAAATACAACAGCATCACATGGAAATGTAATCTCAATCTGAATGTTGATACGAAATTCCTATCCAAATATCAAGCATTTCATAGCATAAAACTTCAAAAAAAAGCAGATTCAAAGCAACTACATCACTACCATCCAAATCCTTTCTGTACAGTAACGGAATAAAAGGCATAATTAGCCTGTATCTGAAAAGATAAGACTTCAGATGCTTCCTTCCCACCCCAAAATAAAGGTTATATGAACCACCATAATTTATGTGCAGCAAAAACTCAGACACATACTCCAAGAAATATTTGTGTCAATCCAGAAAGATCCACTAGTTTATGTCATGTTTACATACTAAACACAGGTAATAAATAAAAATTCCTGCCTTTAAAAGGAGAGGGCATTCCCTCCCAGTGTGTTGTACTGCTCGGACTTGTCCAAGAGCCATCTACACATAAAATAAAAAGAATACATTACATATATCATCTGAAGCATCATTAGCTCATTTTTGTATATTAAAAACCTCACCGTTAATAGAAAAAAACCCTTTATCACAGGACACGAGAACTCCTGATATAAAGCCCTAGTTACACTCTGTAGACTGAGTTTCAATCCTCTTAAAGGAAAAAAAAAGGCATTGCTCTTTCGTGAGACCTACGAGAACATTTCAACAAGCTCAGAGATTTCTTTCCACAATTGAGCCAGGATTTTGTGTGTATATTAAACATATCAAACCCTGTTAAATTCAAACTGGCTGCGTAGTAAGAGACAGAAGACGACACACGCACATTTCAGGAGAAAACTTTACTGCAGTGTAAGGCAAATCCAAAAAGCTGCAACAAGTTAGAAGATTTAAGTATGATCTTATCTGGTCACACATGCTATCAGCTTAAATGTTAGACTACGCAAAAGTGTCTACAAGGTAGAAAATTCACTTTCCTGTCTTTTTTTAAAGTCCTATGCTTTTACAACGAAATGCATTAATGCTTTTATTTGAAACTGTGCAGTAATAAAGTATATGAAACAATCAAATTTAAGGAGTGAACGCTTCCTACTCTAATTGTAATTTACAGACTGTGATCGATCCTGCACAACAACAAAAGACTTAAACAACATACCTGTACAAGCATCTCTCAACCATGAATTTATCTGCCCCCTTCCCCGGCATACATTTTCCTCTTTACAGCATTTAAACCACATTTAAAATATTTTAAAACAGGCTTACGTTCACTTCAGGTTAAAGCACAAACGTTTAAAACAAACTTCCCCATTAAACTGAAAATGAAAAAGCATGGCATGATCTATTAAGAGAGTAAAATGTTTTTATGCTGTGCTATGGGGGGAAAAAAAACACCAAAACCCACGAACAGAAAAACCACCTGCAATCGTTCTGGCACCGTGGCCATACTCAACAAAAATAAATGCAGCAGTAACGAGCGCATACCTCCATCCTCAAGAGGTCTTTTTTGTCCTCCATAACCGTAGTCGTTTGAATTCATTGATGTGCCAGCATCTCCTCCAATTTTTGCTGCAATCTAAACAAAAGACAGATATTGTGAGTTAAAAAAAAAAAAACAAAACAACAAAAAAGCCAGACCTCCTTTATTCCAGGTCTTCTAAACGATTTTAAGCGATTTAAACAATGCGTATTAAAATGATACCACATAAGTAAACAGAAGGTTGCTGCAACAAACAGTTCTGCCTACAGAATTTTTTTTCGTATTTTGAAGGAGACTTGTGGTCATCCTTCAACAGCAAAGCTTCCTATATTTTATTCATCTGTTGAAAAAGAAACCCCAAAACCCATCTTTCAAACACCAGAAATTTTTTTCCTAAAAGGGGCTTTTCCTTTACTACCCATACTTCACGAAACACTGCGGTATCTCACAGAGGGCCCGACCCCTAAAACTATTTCAAAGCTTAAGCAGTCCCGACTACACCGGAGACTTAAAATACTGCCAAAACCGCGGCCGGACGAGGCGAAAAATTTGGCCCGAAATACAATGAAAACAACGCCCGCGGTGCAAAAGCTACAAATACAACTTCGGGATAAAAAAAACCCCAAACAACTACTTCGAGGAGACAGCCCTCGCCGCCTTCGCTCCGCAGGC